GCTAGGAAAAAAAAAAAAAAGAAAGAAGAAGAAGCCCCTCCCGTCCCTTCCGTTCGGTATCGATACGATTGACACAGGAGAGAGAGAGAGAGACCAGGGACCATGGCACATCAAGGTACGAGGACTGCAACTGCTATACCTCAAAAAAAGGGTGAAACAGCTAGTTCCGTTTTCGGCTCCTCGGACTGTGAATACGAGTATTACATATTATATACAGATTATATACAGATTATAACATACACCTCTATTCTCCCTGGTGTTGCTCGTCATCCAATTACTCTAGAATAGCCCTTGCTCTTCTTTCACTGATGGAAATCATCTTCCTCCGCGCATTCCTACAAAACAGACACACACACATACACACACACACCAGGCATCAGTCAAACCAAAAAGTCTGCATGTGGTGTTTGCATAGACATGTACATATATATTACCGACGGAATCATCGGAACATATAACCCGGCATACGTCTTCGTTTGACCGTGTTGCATGCCATGCGAATGATGCAAACTCTCACCTCCTCTCCTCGAGTCTCTCGTAATCGCTACTCGGGATTGAACATGATGTTACACTCCTTCACCCTGAGCCGTGAAAGGGGAGAACCAACTTCGAAAGAGAGAACCCAAACTCAAACTCGAAAAGAGGAGAACAGAAAAGAAACCGACAGGGGGTGAGAGCACATCACTTCGGCTTACCGGCTCGGTGGATTCCTCTTCTTCCTAGACCCAATTTACCTGTAATCCCGCACACCGTGGATTTTTTTTTTTTTGGGGGGGGGGGGGGGGGGTGTCTCATTCCATACCCGTCTCAAAAAATTCCCTCTATCTCTCTGTCTCTCTCTATCTCTCTGTCTCTCTCTATCCCTCTGTCTCTCTCTCTCTCTCTTTGACCAACCTGCCTGTTGATTAACTCTAGGGTGAGCCGCAAAGTTAAAAAAAATAAAAAATAAAATAAACCCCCCCCCCCAATTTTTTTTTTTTTTTGGTACCGGTGGTTGGTCTGGTCTTCAAGGTGCTCACCCTATCTCCTGCCATCATCCATCTATATCAATACTAGGCAGTTGCTATTACCATGGCAAACGACCCGGACCTGATAGGATATAACGTCCTGCCTCCGTGCCTCTAATCCGGGAGATGGGTCAAGGTTATTTATCCATAGAATCTCTTTCCTTCCTCGTACGTGTACCGCTGTCGTCGTGTAATGTCTCAGGATATGCAGTGAAGGGAGAGAGAGGGACACATCATCAGAGAGAGGGTTACATGATGCACCCGTTCTCTGTCAAGGGAGGGGAGAGGAGGGGATCATATCAAATCATTGCCTGATCTCTTCTTTTTTATTTGCCAACATACTAACGTTATCCCCCCCCCCCCCCCCTCTTTCTTCTTCAGTGTTCCTCAGTGGGGCAAGAGGAAACTGGTCGCCTCATCCACAGTCTCATACGCATCTGTTCATCGTACATGAGACTCATCTCTATATATCAGCACATACTGTATCGTTATCTCCTCTACACGGACATCTGCGTCGACCCTCAGGCCAAGGCCAAAGGGTAAGAGGTAGTAGATAGTACTGATCTGCAGACTGCTCTCCGGTCGCACAGCCAACCCATCTGCTCTCGCGGGACCACCGTGCTAAGACTCCGCTGTCCACCGTCGGTCCTCCGTCCTACAAGGTATGACGGATCGGGCTCCCTTACCGAGCCTCGTCTTCCCCGAGCATCTACGTCTGCTCTCGCCACAACCGGTCCGGACCGAAATAGATATCCTTGACGAAGCTGTCTGACCTCTCTCTCCCTCCCTCTCCCTCTCTCTCCCTCCCTCTCCGGTCAAGTCGGCCGAGGGCCTCCCAACACTCTCGTGCCCTCCTTGCGCCGCTGTATCGGCGCCGCAAGAACGATGCCTCCCCGGCAATCTTGCGTGTGAGGGGGACTCGCGTACCCGCTCGAGATCCGGTGCCCGACCGGCCATGCTGATGGAGCCCATCCACTCGCTGTCCGCCATGTTCATCGTAGCAAGACGAGACGCGGTGCCGCCACCGACGATGAAGCACTGGGGATTTGGGACGCGTACCCCGCGCCAGGTCAGCTGACCTCCGGGACAATTCCGGCTACGACATTTGTGGTCCCGTAAAGAAGAGCATCTTCACTCTCGTGAACTCTCTCCAACCTACCATTTTTTTTACCCCTCCAGAAAATAATGAATCTACGTACGTGGGACGGATGAGTGGGACCGTTAAGAAAGAAGAAGACGAGAACTCATCCTTGTTTTTTTATCTCCGGGGGCCAGGCCATCCTCCGCCCCGGACTGTGGAGTCATCCTGTCGTCTTCCTCCAATCAATGACGACAAACCGCATCCTCCTCTCCCGTCCTCGGCGGTTTACAACAGCACCACACACACACACACACACATGTGGCGGATACAGAAGAAGAAGAAAGAAGAAGAAAAGCCAATTGCTCGCTTACCTGCCTGGTTTCTGGCTGCTTGCGTTGCCAGTTTGCCGCTCGATTGCAGCTTTGCGTTTTTCCTGCCTTGCTTTTTTGCCTTGCCTTGCCTCTCCCCCCCCCCCCCCCCCCCCCCCCCCCCCCCCCCCCCCTTCATGTCCGAGGGGCGAAGGCGACCTCCGGCGGTAGACGGAAGCTGACGCAGAACATGAGCTTGTTAGGCGCCACGTCCCGCACCTCGTGGAACGTGGCCTGACCTTGCACCTCTCCGTTGCCAGGCTGCAGGGCTACGCCAATCTCCCTCTGTATGCGCTCGACGACGCCCCTCACGGCCGCGTCGTCGTTGGGTTTCGGCGCGAAGCAGTGGACGTGTACCATGGGCAGCAACCGCTGGGTCTGGGCCTCGGTCCCGGGTGAGGAGAACAGGTCCTCGTGGCCGTGGTACAGACCGCGGAAGTCGTGGAGGAACTCGATGGCCGAGGCGGGGAGGTTCATGACGAAGTGGGACACCGTGGGCGGGACGGGGACCTTGGTCGGTGGCGGGGGAGGCTCCTTGGACGTCCTTGACGGTCTGGGACCGGCGACTGTGGCGTGCTGGCCCCGGGCTGATGCCTCGAGGACGAGGTCGGCTGCCTGCCGGATGAAGTCGTGGCCGTCCAGGTTGAAGGGCCTGACGAATTCGGATACCTTTGCATGCTTTATATTAGCCAGAACCAAAGACAGCTACTGCCTTCTCCATGCAGAGAGGGAGAAAAAGAGAGAGAGAAGGAGGGAGAGAGGGAGAGAGAGCCCACCTTGTTCCTCTGAACAGCCTTGTTGAGATATCTGTAGCTCTCGGGATTCTTGTCATTCGCCCACACAAACACCCCCCTCTTACCGGCGGGCACGGCAAAGGGCCCGATGCCGGCCATGACATCGGCCACCACTTCGCCCGGCTGGAACAGCGAGGCCAGCCGGTCGTGCTCGTTGCTCAGCTTCGAGTTCCAGTATACCTTTGAGTAGTCGAAGACGAAGGAGCAGTTGCTCTCGCGCACCTCGACCACCATGTCGTCCGGCCCGGCGAGCACCTCGTACGAGAAGGTGCGGAACTCGTTCTCCGTGCCGACATTGTCCGTCTTGTTGATGACGGTCTTGATGTGAGGGTTCTTGTCCAGGAGGACTTGGGCGATGACGTGCTTGTACGGTAGATATTGTTCGCGCAGATTGAGGTGGGCTGGCGTGTGTGCACGTGTGTGTGTGCGTGTTAGTTTTCTCTCCAGGAAATTGGCATCAAGAGTAAGGAGTGAGAAAGAAGACGACAACGACGCAAGGATGAGGATGCGTCACTGACCGACGTGACCGGCAGAATTGAAGCCGCTGGGGACCTCATTTTGAAGGCTCTCGGGGAGGATAGATTTCACAACGTCAACTGTGTAGGGTGTGAGTAAGTTTGATCATATGTATATCTGACGAGATGTGCAGCGAGCAGAGGAAGAGAGAGAGGGAGGGTAGGAGAAGAAGAAGCCACAGTGAGAGAAGGACGGACCATAGCTCCAATAGGTGTAGTCAATGTCCACGTTGTAAGGAATGAGACTGAGTTCGCCGGCATCCAGCGCCTCTTTGAGCTTTGAGCTCCAAGTTTCAGGTACTGATTTTTTTTCTCTCTCCATGTCAGATGCGTCTTTGTCCTGGAGATGATGGATGTATAGTTTTTCCTTCTTTCTTTTTTTTCCCCAAAGTATATATATATAATATATAAACAGAGCTGCCAGATATGTGACTCCGAACGGGGAGGGATGATGATACCTACCTGACGACTTGATGGCCGGGTCCAAGACCAGACACTTGCTGCCCTGACGGGCCAAGGCAGGGTCCGGATGAGCAACGATGGGCCTCATCTTGTCGATGTTGAGGAGCTCCCGCGTACCCTCAAAGTCCTTGCGATACCGCGAGAGCAGCTTGTTGTCCCGGACCACGGCCGCCGTGGCCGGCAGGGTGCGTGAGAAGAGCGTCCGGTCAAGGGTCTGAGCTGCCCTGGCGGCGGCGGGAGGCCGGAACAGTGAACTCATGTCTACGAGCACTGGGGTAGCGTCGGTCTGCATATCGTCGGGTGAGCCTCGTCTCGTGTGCACGGGGGAACTGTATCTGAGTGGGGAGTCTGACATACGGTCATGGCTAGATGGTCCCGGAGTACGTCGACGTCGTCGTCGTCGTCGTCGCGCCTCTCTGGGTTGGTGAGTCCAATCTCTCTCACGTGTGATGTATGAAATTCTATGTCGTCTACATTTTCACCAAAATCCTCTACACAACAATTTTTGTGCTGGCTCACGAGGGGCCCCACATATATATCCTCAATATGTACAGTGATGGTCTTGATCTGCTCTTCTTTTCTCTTCTTCTTCTTCTTCTTCTGTTTTTATGCTTGTTCATCACCGTCATAGGAAAAAAGCTCCTTCTTTTCGATCCAAAATATGATTATTTGAAAAAAAAAAAAGGACAAAACAAATTAGCCGGGTAGTTGAATGGGCAACCTCCCTTCCGTCATATCTTGTCTACGTGGTAATATACAATAACTACCTCCCC